TACAATGGCTCGTTTACGTACTCATCCTCTGCTTTGGGCTGCCCGTTCGGAGCGTTGTGATACTCCGGGTTGTCCACAGCTTGGAGATCTCCATTCTTTCGTCGGGAAACGAATGGGTTCTCCTCCACTGGGTTTAGGTAATCTAAGGAAAGATTAAAAAGAAATCAACAAAGAGAGGGAGTAATCCATCCAAGTAACAGGCATCACGTGTTTGTTACTACCAGGCTGTACCAGAAGCAGTACTCGGACTTGTACATCCTTCCACCCCAGCTACTCATTCCAGCAAAGCTGGAAACTAAACTCCAGCTCTCGCTGAGCCATAGCTCCTGTGCCTTGTTTGATCCTGAACTTTCCTCTCAGGGTATGACCTACAGAGCCACACATGCCAAGACTTCTGCCTCTGCTGCTGACTCTCTCGGCAACCTTGGACGTATCAGTCACACCCTCTGCTCTGCAGTCTTTCCATCCAGAGAGCTCTATAGAAATCTTAGTTAAGCTCTCTGCACAAAAACCATCCCCAAGGGCTAACTTCTAAGACAGCTTCATTTCTAACAGAACAATCTGCGTGATTAAAACTCTTCCATCCCTGAAGGACAAAGGGCCTTGAAGCATTATGAAAAAAATTATTCAAATGAGCCCTGGAAAGTACAAGAGAGTCTTACATCATCTCCAGAACAGGACTTGGAGCAGGTTACAGTTGCTTCGAATCACATTCTGTGGATTAACACTACAAAAATTGTATCTGAATTGCAGAAAGGTTTTAAGGCATATGGAGCTTGCATGGAAAGCTAGACAAAGGTTGGAGAGGGAAGAGAAACATAAGGGGACTGGCTGTCCTAGGTTAAAAACACACGCTTAGTAAGCTCCCTCCCACGGTCACACACAGGTGACTGAGGCACAGAGCAGCAGATTCGCTGGGTGTCATGTCCTGCCTTGCTCTGTGTGTAATGAGGTTTCGCTGCAAAACACAAAGCCAATGGGCCAGGGCAGGAAGGAGGTTGCTGACACTGCAAGTGGATGCAACATGCAAAGGACATGGCTTGGAGGTCAGCTGGGGACAAAAGGAACTGGGGGTGGGACCCCTGCAGCGAGATAGTCAAGAGCATCCAGTTCATTCAAGGCTGGAAATGATCAGATCAAACCCACTTCCAGTATTAATTCTGCCTTTTGTCTCACAGTCTAGAGGTTCCCTACAAAACAGGGTCTCCAAGCCACTGCCATTAGTGAGGGATGACACCTCAGCCTGCCTGTGCCACACAGGGATGCTAACATGAGATCTCCATCTCCAGTAGCATGGCTCTGGTCATGGTCTCTGGAGACACTTCCACACAGAGTCCTGCCCGCAAGGAAACAGGCCCCATGGCCACTCTGTGTCTGTGGTCCTCACTTCAACTCTTTTTTGGCCCCTTCTTGGGTAAAACCAATTAAATGCAAAAGTTCAAGACTTAGTGAGTACCTTTGACCACATAGCTAAAACTCTGCTGAATCCAAGAGGTGGAACAGGCACACATGCCTGCACCAAGAGCACAGTGGAAGCATTTTTTTTTTGTAAAGCAATGACAACCAAGCAGTTGCTTGATTTGAGTCTCCCAGCTGACAGAGAGCACGCAGCATTGTGGCCACACTGTGATATCCCTGCGTCTGTGCCCAGCAAGACAGAAAGGAGGTGCTTTCTCCTGAGCTGCTACTACGGCGTTCCTTAGGGCTCAGGTAGCACCTGTGAAGTGTTAAGCTCCTTCAGAACTCTGAGGCGCTGCAGGGAAAACCTCTATGTGAAGACACATGTGGGCTCACACTGAAGCAAACTCACAGCATCAAATCTCTTCTTGCAAAAGCCTGTTGCTGAAGAGTAGCACCACGAGTGCACTCCCACAATTGCTACTGCTGTGGGTCAAGCCCCAAGACTCCCTCCATTTCCACCACGTAACACAAAAGGTACGTGGTTTTCAAATTCTGAAGCGAACCTAATAGTTACTTGGCATTTACATTTGCATTAATTAATTTATTTAAAGCTAATGCAAAGGTTTGAAAGCAAATTACTAATGACACATCCTTTTACATCTAAATGACTGCCGGCACTATTTAAAAAGGAAGAGATGAGTGATGGCTAGCTGAGAAGTGTAGCACTCTGAGGCACGGATCTAGGCAAACTTCACCTTGCAGTGCTGGTCTCTCTGAAGCACATCTTGTTCTTTCAATCCTAAACTTCTCTTGGGTATAAAATGCCAACTGTGCAAATAGGTTCTATGATATGTTCAACATGACATTTACCAAGCACAATGCCATGAAGATAAAGAAGATCGATAAACAAAGCAAAGTGGAAACTATGGCTGGCCAAAGATAGATTCCTTCTTGGCAATAACTGAAGATTTGTGTTTGGATAAGGAGGAGGTTTGGGTTTTTTCATTCCTCTCTCTCGTTATTTCCCAGAAAGAAAAATTAAAGGGGGAATTGCCAAACCTGACATCTTGGCACATTTGAGCTTTTCTAAGTAGTAAACTGAGCAAAGAAAAATGAATCGCCATTAACCGAGTCAGAATGTTTCCACCTTGCTGCGTTATTCAATAAAGCCATTTTTGGTGAAAAGCTGCTGATGTAGAAAAAGACAGAATGCAGTCAGGCTGGAGCAAGGAGGTTCTCTGGAAACACAGTTTTTTACCTGTTTTAGCTTTGTCTCGCATTGGCGTCATGTACCCATCCTCATCCAGCTCTCCCCGGATGATCCGCTCAGGTATGAAGACCGTGGGATCAGCACTGTACCTCTGGGTGCTGCTGTCCTCTTTTGCCAGGGTTGCTGCTTGTTTTCGTAGTGTGCCATTACAGCAAGTATCTTCAAAGATCTCTGCTGTGGCCCCTTGAGCAACTGGGGCTTCTGGTATTATGCAGCCAGGAGCTCTGTACGGCATTGGCACTTCTGCAGCATAGCCGCCATCTCTATACACAAACTGGTTCTGTTGAAAAAGAAAAGGCACCATGAGAAAGGAGGCTCTGAAGGGAGAGAAGATTCAACAGCAAGTAATTTCTGCAGCTCCTGTGCCTTTCCTGACACGCTTGCTCAATGATGCATTTCACCGGGCAGGTGAAGCCTTGTCCATCCTGCAGATTACTGCATGTCCAGCGCTGCAGGATCAGCAGCAGCACAGGCTCTGTTGTGGACCAGCAAAGCATCCGGTGGTGCTGAGCCGGCTTCCCCTGCCAGGGAGGCACCAGGAAGCCAGCTTCCTTCCCTGCTCAGGGCTGGAAATGGGGCAGGAAAACTTGTCTCCTACCTAGACATGTGGAGGTTGGATATACACAGCTCCAAGAGGCAAACACAGTATCTCCTCTTCTATTACTTTGGCAATCTCCCCTGATAACCTCATGTTAGGGACATCTCCTCTGCAAAGGGGACTGGGGATAGAGGACACTATCATCTCTGAAATGTTTATTTCTTGGGGGGCCTACTTTTAGGGTGTCTTGCAGTGACAATCACACAGTCACCCAAACACTATATAATTCCATCAGGTACTGCATTTCAGGCTGGTGAACTGTGCTTGTATTGGTACCTCCACTCAATTTTTCAACTCAACCTACCATTTTACTTGTCGGCAAGGGCGTGCAAGGAAATTTTGACATCATGACCTATAAATAGGAAGGAAAAATGTACAGATTCATCCAAGCCTGTTACCTAAATACTTAGGTATTCACTTCAAGAAAAGTTGGCAGTTGGCAGAATTTTGGGTGTGGGTCCATAGAGCTTGCACACAAATCCAGGCTGAGTGTAGAGATCCTGACTATTTGATTGCTTACATACATCACTCGCTGTTGGCTTTTGGGCCATTTATGTAGGAAAAAGGGGTTTGAAACAGAAAATATGTAGTGAAGGAAGGAGGAAAACCTGAAGGATGAAGGTTGAATGTGAAATACTTACTCCTGACATAGGGGTGTAGGCAGGAGGAGGGCTGTGTCCAATTTCACTCTAATAGGAAAGAAAAATGGAATGATGGATACGTAATAAGAGGTCACATGAATGAAACAAGTCACATGAGCTGTATGAGCTAATGGGGAGAAACAAGCACATCAGTCAGATTTCCTAACTGAAGCCAAAATTCAAAGAATTCAATCATGGCAAGAGTCTCACCAACGACAACAAGCTGTGTGCCTCACCAGTCTTAGGGAGGGCTACTGAGTTCCTCTTGCTGGGTAAGGGCAAGCGCCATGTTACACTTGCTGACAGCTGTATATCCTGCAAATATCAGGATCATAACAGAAGAGGGAACAGAAGACACTTTACCAGAGAATACTTTCTTTTTTAAAAAAGGGGGCAGACTTCAAGGTCCTCAATACACATCTGGATACAGACTACGCAGCAAACTTGTAACTTGGCAGCCTTCTGCAAGAGGCTTGTTTGGGACAACTAGGAGGGTCCCTTTAAACAGGAAACTGGAGATGCTCTGATCTGGGAGGTCAGATCCCCTCTGAATCCCTTCGCCTTTCCTCTGTACCATAGATTTACTGTCACCTTGTAAGGATATGTGGACAGGTTACAACCCAGAATGTGTTAGAGAAATGGATAAAAAACATCCCCTGAGCCTGCCAGATGCTACTTCAAACTCCTACTGATGGCTATAAGATGTTGCACTGCGGGAGACTTAATCTTCCTTCTCCTTGCCCTCTGATCTCGTATTTATTGGAATTCAGGGAAGCTTTCTGTATACTCCAAAAAGATGGAGAAGAAAAGACAGAAGACAGGTAAGTAGTAAACTATGGTCCATGGTGGTAAAGATTTAGATAAACTGATGATTACAGGTAGGATCCAGAGAAGAAATACAAAGTGGTGACTACAGAGAGTCAACTGTCTTAACAGCGAGGAATCCAAAGCTCTGTTGGGAATCCTCTACCTCCTTGTAAAGCTCCCCAGTTTCCTTCCATACTGCCTATAGGCTGCAAGACTCCAAAGAGGTGGTTTTCTTCTTTTGGTTTCCAAGGTGGCTACAGCCTTCCAGACTGCACAAGAGTGAAAAGAGCTTTAGCCATACTGCGTTAGTATTATATGCAGGGGATTGGAGGTCACTGCTGTCGACTTTTCACAGACACTAAACCAGTGACTGTAACCACTCCTTTTCTATTTGGTACTACACCGTGCTATATTACACACCTTTAATTTACATCTTTCTATTTTCACAAAGGTACTCCCATGAATTTCAGCTTGTGGTTCATTGATTCTGGATGAGTAAGGGGAGAGCTGTCTTGAACTCTTGAACACAGCCCACAGTGATCTCTCAAGGGTAACTTAGAAAAGCAAGTCTTTTGTCAATGGGCTTGGCTTCAGTACAAAGGCCTATGCCCCTCTGCCCATAAATGTTTAGATGATTAGCAACTTCAAAAAATATTTTCTAGGATGGCTACATTATCTACCTGCAGGCATGCTTTGCTCCACCCTCATCACAAAAGGGTAAACCCACTGTCCTATCTTCGGATCTTCTTGGCCGTGACTAACATTTAAATACATACTCTGCAACTACAACAATTTAAATACATACTCTGCAACTACTACAACAAATAATAACAGGCCCTCTTAGAATAGTCCTGTCTCAAGACGTCAGCAGAGAATGCACTAGCATTAATGCATACATTGTTATTTTTGCTGACAAGACCCTTCCTAGTCAGTGACCTGCCAACTAAGATCACATTAATGGTATTTTCTTCATGCCTCCCCTTTCGTTCTGTACTAAACATAGCTGTCTTGCAACACCCTTAACACAGAACATTACAGCTTGGCTCTTCTCCAAACCACTGGTGTCTGCACACTTACTTAATTCTTTACTGTTTTTCCCCATTAATTAATACCCTGTGGTCACTGTTCCAAAAAAAGGAGGCAAAGAAAACAGCTGTGGCACCAATTAGTGGGGCTGAAAATGTGATATAATTGTTTAAATGTCTTTAAATTGCCTGCTAATTGCAATGTGATGTCATCATTTTGTAGGCAGCCAAGGTAAGTACTGAAAGCCCCAGCCAATTCTTATTGGTTAGGACATGAATCACACTGTGAGCAGAAAATACATTTGGATCTTACCAAGTAAAACTTAAATAGCTTAAGCTATTTAAGTATTAAAACTTAAATAGATGTGTATGTGTTATACAATTTACCTTGCTCATTTTTTTTTCTGGTAGTTGTTTTTGCATCTTAAATACTATGTTGAATAAAAGAGCTGATGTTCCTTTCTTGAGAAGATCTAGGTTTTTGGATTTCTGATCCTGAAATTCTGACCTGAATGATCAAGACCTCTAGCTTGTTGAGATGGACACAGACTTCAGAGACTGGTTGCCCAAAGACCTCGCTACATAAACCTACTTAAAAACTTTCAACTTGCATAGTTAAAAAGAAAAAAAATTAATCAATAAAACCCCCTTTTGATAGTGTAATACATATTATATGTCTTAGCTCTGGAGTGCACACACCCATTGACATTTAAACTGTAAGCATCCTCCAGAAGCAGCCTAGCCTTTTTGATTGCCCAGGAGCAGCCATAACCAGAAGCGCTTGAGATTTTATTCCTTATACCACACTGCATTTTAGGCACAAACATGAGAAAAAATAAAAAACAAGCAAATGTCCCCTAAAGCCTTTTTAGAGGCCCTTTGGTATTAAATACCAGTGACATATCAGCTATTATAACTGCTAACGTTTGTGTAAAACAAGCCTTGATAAAAGAGAGGTAAATAACACTTTTGTGAATATCGGCTTGTGTTATTGCTTTCTGTTCATTAATTTCATTTTCCAACTCCTTGCTTCTAAAAACTCCTAAAGGTAAATATCTCCTCCTTTATAGCAGGGACATTATATTTTCTGGCTGCATGCTAAACCGTAATGATATCAAAGCCTTGCTGGGTCCTGCCACTCATATTCATGTGGTTGTGTGAATATGCCTCTGCCTTTTCTCTTTTCATTTGAGTCTAGCATCACGCCTGGAGTATGGCGCCCAGAGCTGTGTTCCTCCCGCTGCCTGCGCCACAGCTCATCCCACACCAGCCCTATGGTGACCACAGCTGCCTTCAAAGCCACACGCACAGCAGACTTCAGATGGAAGAAACGCTGAAGGTACTCAGTGATGTGACGCTGCTGTGGGACTATGGCTGGTACAAGACTATCACCAAACAGGAAATCAATAAAATTTCATTTTACAGCATGCTTTGCTTGCTACCACAGCCTCCCAACAGCACCCTCGCTGCTGCAGAGCTGGTCTTCCTTGTCACCCACCGAGATGTGCACACATATTTGATAGGGTTGCATAATTATTACTGTTTCTTGTTCTTAAGCAGCCTGCTAAGCTCAAGGGACTGAAGATTTTTCTTTACTAAAGGCAAGGCTCAGACAGCATCAGTGTACACACACACGTGTTTGAATCCACTCTGACACTGCTCCTATCCACATTGAGAACCCAATTCACTTTCACTCTCCTTCTGCTCTTGTATGCAAAAAGTACCAAACCTTAAAGCCCGAGTGAAACACTCCCACCTTCTCACTGGGATGTTCCTCACACGTCCTCTTCAGAGGTAACTCAGTGATTAACTTTTGATCAAGCTCTGCAACACTTCTTTGTATCAGTTCAGTCCTGGGCTGTGTGCCCCCAGAAATAACTCACTTTCCTCCTACCCCTAGAAACTGTTTGCCCCATTTGAAATCAAGTCAGTACGCAGGCTCAAGTCACCAAATCACAGCATCCTAACACAGCAGGCTGAGCAGATTTGTTGAAAGCATCAACATTGCAGCAGTTCTCTAGGAAGATGGACAGCTGATTTATGCAAGTGGATCTGAATAATACATTTGGGATGCTCTGGTGGGGCTGCAGGCAGAGCACACAACACAGAGCTGTCCCATCAGCCCCGAGCAAACTCCAGCTACATTTCAAGGGACCAGCCTGGTATTTACAACCGATCTGAACTGAAATTCAAATAGGAAAGATCACCCCAGGAGAGCAGCCACCTCTGCTCAGCAGTCCTGCTTCCCTCTGACCACAGAGCTAACAGCTTACTCTGCCCTGCTTCAGAGAGCCCACAGCAAACATGTGCGAGACGAAAATCAAAGGAAAGAAAAAACGTGTACCATGAGATCGCAGTGTAATGTTAAATGGAAATGAAAAGCTGTTTGTATAGTAATAGCTCGAAGGCTTTGCAGAGCTCTGGAGATTTCTGGTCCTAGCCCCTGCTCAGAGCAGGGCCATATATAAAAAGGAAGGATTAGATGCCCCCCTGGGCTGTTACAGTTAAAGCATATCTGTCCCTACAGCTCACACCACCCGACACAAGTTTGGCATCCCTCCTGCTCTCTTCTGTTCAGCCTGGGCTCCTGACCCTGCTTAAGAAAACTCCATTCCCCACTAGGCACTTTCCTCTGGGACTATGAAGAAAGGTTCCCATTAGCATCACTGCCAAGTGTCATGGCTCAGCCCTAGGCGTGGGTCATTGCTGGCACCCTGCATCATTTCAGCACACAGAAAAACAATCACAGCATACTTGAGATGTTCATCTTCTGAAACTGGTTTGGGATATGTATGTGCCTCTTACATCACCTATTTCAGGCACCCAAACAGCAATGTGGCCCACCTGAGTTAATGTAGCAAGACAGGGCACACATTTTTCTAGTGAGAGGAAAGGGGAGCCTATTATTCAACAACAAAAAATAAAGGTAGGAATAATATACACAGGCTGTGGACAGTAGCTATGCCACAGTTTACAATGCCCTTAGTTCAATGACCATGAAGTTCCATTTGGGATAGATGAAACTTTATTGGAAATGAAGTCCCAGTCCCTTTTCCAGCATTACCCTTTCTCAAAACCTCAGAAACCTTCGTTCTTCCATCTTCAGAACGGCTGGCAAACAGACGTCAGCTGGCTCAATATGTGATTTGATCTAAGCATGTCACAAGAATAAAGATGCAAGTATTCCTTTTCCCTATTATTTTGTCTTAATGCACC